GGGGGGGGGAGGGAGAAGGGGGGGGGGGGGGGGGGGGGGGGAGGGGGGAGAGGGGGTTGTTGACACACCTGTTTACTAAATTTACTCCCTATAAAGGCTAAAGCTCTATTTGACTAAACAGAGAATAGAGAGATGGAGCAGTCCACTGTTTAACTGTTGAAATAATAATAATAATAATAATGATAATAATTTGTCATATATGTTGGTGTTGATGGGGTCGACTGGTAGATCTCAAAGGAAGTGCTGGTGGATTCTGAGCAATTACATTTAAAGAAACAACAAAATTAAAAATGATAGATTTAATTTAGTTTTAAGATGCTAATCACTCGAGCTAAAGTAAGGAGACTTGTATTGTGCCATACAACTACAGCCATTTAATCAAAGGAGTAAATATATATTTATACATATATAGTTTTCAATGTAGGAAGATCACTTTACCCCGGTCATTTGAAAAGTAGCTCCCAAGCCGAAAAGGTGTGGACACCCCTGGTGTATGGTGACATTGTTATGTTGCTGTTTTGGTTAATAATATTAGCATGTTTGTGCTAACGTTTACTCGGGAGCTAAACATTGTTTTTTAATTGACAGCTGACTTTATAGGTATAATTTAGCTTTTGTTAGATATACAGTCAAACTGGGAACTGGAGACGTTCTCAACAGGACAGGAACCTATTATAACTGAATGTAGCGTTTTAAATGATCTAACCCTAACCCATGAATGACAAACTTTGTTTTGCATGTGCAGTAATGCAGGCCAGGAGCATCTTCTGTGTTCTTTTGGTGGTGGACCCCGGAACTGCATTGGATCTAAACTTACCCACATTGTCCTTAAGGTGACTCAATCTGTAGATTTGTCCAGTATGACCTCAGCTTTACCACCAGGTCACCTGACATCCCACGTCAGGTGACCTGGTGTACTGTGGAAAATCGAAATACTATATACTTATATATTTATATGCTCATATACTTACAGGAGACCTAAATAAGTCCTAGCTCAACATTAGGGAATGATGTGTTTTATTGTTGAGATTTAATGTTTTTGTTCAACTTTCATGGGTATAAGTAATGTGATACTACAGTATGGTGTAATACTGTACTGCAGATCTACCTCCTTTTAAGGTAGTTGTTTAAAAAACCCTGGAGCAGCTCAGTGTTGGAGGCGTCACAGCATCTGGTCTGGTTTGTTAATAAGGTTTTTTTTTACTCTTTGCCTTGTAAAAAAAGCTGCTAACATAGCTATTCTGAAACATTAGCTTGTAAAAACAAACCAAACATGTAGGTTACATTGATTAAATATTGCATCCATCTCACACACACTCACACATCATTTTAAACAACATCAGTGTAGCTTCAGTTTTTTAACCAGCGGTTGACTACAGTAAAGAAGTATCAAAGGGTAACGTTAGCCTTTATCAAAGGGTAACGTTAGCCTTCATCAGACGGTAACGTTAGCCTTTATCAGAGGGTAACGTTAGCCTTTATCAGAGGGTAACGTTAGCCTTTATCAGAGGGTAACATTATCCTTTATCAGAGGGTAACATTAGCCTTTATCAAAGGGTAACGTTAGCCTTTATCAGAGGGTAACATTATCCTTTATCAGAGGGTAACATTAGCCTTTATCAGGGGGTAACGTTAGCCTTTATCAGAGGGTAACATTATCCTTTATCAGAGGGTAACATTAGCCTTTATCAGGGGGTAACGTTAGCCTTTATCAGAGGGTAACATTATCCTTTATCAGAGGGTAACATTAGCCTTTATCAGGGGGTAACGTTAGCCTTTATCAG